CCCCTCCCCCACACTTCTTTTTGTTCCCCAAACTGAAAGACGATCCTAAAAGAACCCTATCTGGGTCACGCCATGATGCCAACCAGCCATTTTGACATGGCGTACATGGAAGAGTGTAGAATTCTTCAGGGAAGACAGAGAGGTGGAAGAACGGCCTTCAGAAGCATGTCGATATGCTGAGAGACAGCAGCTTCCCCTTTGCAGATGATACCTTTAGCACTGCATACCCAAACCGTGCCCTGGGCATTTTAACAATTAGCTGATAAACAAGTATATGAACATGGCAAAGTTGTTTCCAAGTAAATATTACGGTGTGCTTGGAGAAATGGATTATACGTGAAGGTAAGTAAAGTATTGCTACAAAATCATAGAAAACAGAAATATCGAAACATGAAGCCCAGCCTCCGTTTGGGTCTGTACACTTCTGAAGGTAGTGTTTGCATCGCTGTACCCTTTCCCTGAAGAATTCGGCATCGAAATGGCAATTTGGCATCTCCAAGGGTCTCAAATTGTGTTCCCTTGACATAGTCTTTAAGTTCGGAGAACAAAAACGAAGTCTGAAGGGGCCACATTCGAGCTGTACTTGGACGGGGTGAGGTTTGCCAGCCTTGTAAGATAACCCTTGCTACCCTCAAAGACTTAGAAAGCTATGGTCTTGAAAACCCTGAAGGGCAGTTCTACCCTGTCCTGTAGGATCGCTGAGCTGGAATGGACTCTAGAAGTGAATTGTTTTCTTTTCGTTTGTGTGTTTGTTTTGGTTGTTTTGTCATGGTGGGGGAAAACTCCTTGGTTCATCGTTGCTGGTCTTCTTATCACCCAAGCAGTTTTCCATTTTCTTAAAACTTCTCCACAATAAACCACCTTGACCAAAAATACCCCTTTGGGGTCCCAAAACACAGTCACCTTTACCTTCTGAGCCGTGACTTCTCTGCCTTGGATTTAACTGACTTACCAGATCCCTTAGAAATCCCTGTTTTCACTGGATCCTTTTAAAGACCCCCTAATGAGGCCTAGACAAGTGTATGACTGAGAGAACATGTCCACATGTTTAAACAGGTTTTGTTTGGATTAAAATTTGTAGGTCTGACCTACCCTCCTGAACATAGTATCAGTGAACAGCTGTAAAAGAAAACCTGTGACATGCCGTGTGTTTACGGAGGACAATGACAATGGCTCTATCTATTGACACAGGACCTGTGGCTTAGCTGTGCCAAGTTCAATGTGGTTACCTTTAGATGTGTCATTTGAACGAAATAACAGAGGACCTGCCAATATGTTTTAAAGTGAGGAAGTGTTTGTCTTCTGTTTGATTGAGTGGACTTGTGTTCCCCTATGTCCCTTAGGAATGAATTCCTCTTGAACCAAATTTACTTTTTATGCATTCAGAGTAATTGATGTGTTCAGTAAAGGGAGGTGGAATATGGGGGTGTGTGCGCAGTTTATCTCCAGCAAAAAAGAGCAAATCCAGGTGAAGCAAAGTGGGGAAATATGACATCACCCAGGGCCACCATCGCTCTCAGAACACAGACAGCTTCTCTGGGCACAGAGGGTTGTTCTCAAAGTGTACTGTGAGGACAGCTGCCAGGCACCCGTCCAACAAAAAAATGGATTGAGCATTAAGTGATGGGTTCGAAGTAACGTGGTGAAAGAGGTCATGTTCTCTGGACCTGGCCTGTATCTTCTTGAAAGGTGCCCCCTTCAGTGCACTGTGTATTCTTCAAGGGTGTGTTAGTGTCTACTGATAATCTAAGAAACATAGGCATCGGGCTGCTAACAGCTAGGAGCGCGATTCCAAGCCACCAGCTGTTCCGCAGAAGAAAGACGAGTCTCTCTGATCCTGCCATGATTTACCCCACGGCACAGCTCTGCTCTGTTGAAACCAACAGAATGACAGTGGGTATGGTTTGGGCAGGGAATCTATGTAAGAAATTCCGTGTGATATTAAGCCAGTTTCTTGTAAAGGTGCTGAACCTGGCTCAGTCCTGAAAAGCGGCCAGTGACCACTGTGCCAGAATGGTGTGTGTGTCTGAGTGCACATATATATAATCATCCACGTATAGGTTCCTTTAAGCCTTACAATAGACTTGTAAAGTAAGCACAAGTAGCTATGTTGACGTACACGCTGTCATTCAACAAATATTTACCATCAGTGACACAACTATGTGCCCTCAACTGCTAGCTTCAAGGTTGGCGATTCAAACCCACTATGGAAGAAAGGCCTGGCGATCCGTTCCACAGAGCTGATAGGTAGCTGCCTGCCACTCTGTCTTCCCAGGCACCTACGGGAGGGGTGGGATGTTCCCAAGGGCCACATGCCGTGCACACACCACACAGTCTCTCAGTAGAGTACAGCCAAGGAAACCTTATCGAGCCTAGAAAGCCCTGTGACTCATGGGGTGGCCGGAAAGGGGTATCTTGGTTTGGGTCAGTCAAGCACTGCACCCGGGATTCTGCGATGAACAATATCAAGGTGATTCCTGCCCCCCACCCCCACCCTGGGGCTGTCTTCTAAGTGGGGGCTGGGAGTTGAGGGCATGGGACATGATCACATAAAGAAACTCATGTCCAGGGGAATAGAAGTCATCGAGGAAACCGCCGAAAGGCTGGAAGAAGGAAGCGAGGTGAGGAATTGCCTCCGCTCTCCACACCCCCACCATGCCCAGGGGAACCGCGCCCCCCCCACCCCAATGCTCCAGCCCAGGCCCAGCTTTCCCCTCGCCCCCCTCCCCCAGCAGCCCCCTCCCCCGTCCCCTGTCTCTGCCCCACCCCCCACCGTGGTCCCTCCCACTTCAGAGTCTGAGAACTGAGTGCCAACGGTCCCTGCGCGAGCCCCACCCACGCAGCCGGTGGCCGTGGCCGTGGCAGCGGCAGCGGCAGTGGCCCCGCCATGGGAAACGAGGAGAGTTACCCCCCGGAGATATGCTCTCACTTCGACAATGAAGAGATTAAACGGCTGGGCCGGAGCTTCCGGAAGCTGGACTTGGACAAGTCGGGCACCCTGAGCGTGGACGAGTTCCTGGCCCTGCCCGAGCTGCAGCAAAACCCGCTGCTGGGGCGAGTGATCGACATCTTCGACACGGACGGCAACGGCGAGGTGGACTTCAAGGAGTTCATCATGGGCGCGTCCCATTTCAGCGTCCGCGGAGACGAGGAGCAGAAGTTGAAGTTCGCGTTCATGATCTACGACATCGACAAAGACGGCTACATCTCCAACGGCGAGCTCTTCCAGGTGTTGAAGATGATGGTGGGCGACAACCTGCGCGAGCCGCAGCTGCAGCAGCTGGTGGACAAAACCATCCTCCTCCTGGACAGGGACGGCGACGGGAAAATATCCTTCGATGAGTTCTCGGCGGTAGTCAGACAGCTGGAGATCCACAAGAAGTTGGTGCTGATCTTGTGACCGGTCCCTTCTGTGGCCTCGCTTCTCCTGCGAGACCCCGTCCCCCCGCTGCCGCTGCCGCCGCTCTGAGTGACTCGGAACTGTGCCTCCTTGTCAAAGCCTTATTTTCTAACACGAAAAGTGCAACAAAACGCAGTGTGGCTGAGTTCTTCCTCTCGCTGCCTTCAGCGTAACGCCCAGGAGGTGGGGGTGGGGTGGGGTGGACCGGTGGGACCCTAGTGGGAAACGAAAAAGAAGAAAAATTACTTTTTATAAACGTCTTTCCCCCTTTGGTTTGATTCCCCGAAACCATAGGGACTTATCTCTCGAAGTGTCCGATTTGGAGACAGTTAGACAATTTAAGTCAAATATTAGGTTTTCCGCGGGTGTTCGCATGTCTTACACAACAACTCACTGTTGTTGTTTGCCCTGGTAGCGACCCTACAGGGCAGGGTAGGACTCCCCCTGTGGGTTTCTGAGATGATAACTCTAAGGAGTAGAAAGCCTCTTCTTTCACCAGCAGAATGGCTGGTGGTTTTGAACTACTGACCTTTCAGCTAACAGCCCAATTCCTAACGGTGAGTTTGATGTTGGCTAGTGTTTGCCTGATGACAGTTTTTTAGAAACCAGTTGCCACCGAGACGACTTTGACTCCTGGCCACCGCAAGGGCGTCAGAATAAGACTGTGCTCCCCGGGCTTTTTCAAGGACTGATGTTTCAAAAGCACATTGCAGGCTTTTCTTCCGAGGCCTCTCTGGGTGCACGCGGAGGGTGCCACCTTTCCATTAGCAACTGAACCCAGAGCTGCTGGCCCCGCCCACAGACCCACTTTATGTCCCGTGTCTTTCGTGCCCATTGGTCCTGCTGAGCGAAGCGTCTTCCTCTTTGCTAAGCACCTCCGACTCTCCCTGGCCCAGCCCACCCCCATGATGCGTCTAGAAATCCCTGACCTTGTCAAAGGAGTTAAGGTCTGCTAGGATCCTCGGAGCTCTGTACACTAGCTCCTGAAGAGGAACTGGTTCCAAGACTCTGGGAAGAGATACCCAGACAACGTGTTAGCCCCAGAGAGGCAGGTGTTCAGCGTAGTTGCCCCACCTACCTCCAGCCATGAGTTCAGATAAGGAGTTTTCAGGCGAACAGAGCAAAGATCTTCCAGGAAAAATCTCTCATTACCAACAATCAAATCCCACTCCAGAATGACCCATACAGAGTTAGTCTTCCCTGAAGGACATAGGCAATATAGAGGTTTCTGGAATCACTCCCCAAGATGCCCAAGAGGAGGAGGATGCCGTGGTGTCCAGAGATGCCAAGACATGTAAGCAGGTCTCTGCATTCGAGTGGAGGGTCGCCTGCATTAACCAAGCAGAGAAGCTGAGCACGTTCTCATTTTAGAGAGCCTTGTCTCTAATGTAACCTTCAGGCCACACAATAGTAGGTCTGCACCCGGGTTGTGCTGGAGCCTGCTCCCCAAGAGTCCACATGTGGGTGCCTCCCTCTCCACTCTGCATTCAGTGATTAGCCGCGGGTCACTTGAAACCCACCAGGAGGGAAGAGGGCAGCGCGTGTTTTGGGAGAGTCAGTCGGTCAGCAAATACACCTGTGCCCACAGCTCACTGAGACCCCTGCCTATCACACACTCTCTGGTCTGGGCCACACGCTGGCTTCCTAGAGCCAGGCTGGCTGCAGCATCTGCGCTTGTCCGCCAGCTCCTCCTCCTCATGGGACTACATTGGCTGCTTAAGGGGCTTGAGGTTTCCAAACACCAGGTCCGAGAAATGTCACGCAATTTTTCTCAAGACGCGATGCGTTTCCACAAAATGTATTATCCTTAGACATTGAAGAAGTTGGCGACCCATCTAGATTGAAACATAAAGGAAAGGGAGCCCACAGATATAATGCCTGGCAAGAAACCCCTTGCTGCCAGCTGATTCTATAATAGATTACTTAGCAACCACCAAGAAGAGGAATCCCTGCCCCTTTGGTTCCCATGGGTTCCTAAAATGTGGATCCATCATCAGCAAGTGCTCCCAACTGTACAGGATAATGGACAGTCACACTCACACTTGGTGTGCATTGAGTCACACCTGGGGTTGTTTGTATGTTTGGTTGCTTTTATCACATCTCCACTTCTTATAGCTGTGCCGGCATGAGCAATTGACTTAGCTGGTGTATTTTCTTCAAATTAAATTGACAATCTCCCTATCACAGAGTGATTTTGATGATTCCAAAAAAGATGTATCATACCTAGATCACTTCGAACTCATTTTACTAATTCCTCGGCCTTCTTGCGTCCTCTCTGATAATGCCAACAAGTGAAGGAGAAACTGGGAGTGTAGGGGCTCCCGATGCACCTTAGTGCTTAGCCACACCCACTGGGGAACTAGTGAGATGTGTGTGGGCCCAGCTCAACCTTATTTGTAGAGGGGACAGTAGATGTCTTGATTTTAGAAGTGGAAAAAATCTAAACAAGCCTTTCACCCTAGCCAAAGCTTTTTGAAGGAAACTTTATGATACTCCACGAGGAACGTGAGCATGTGTGCTGCAGGCCAAGAGGACTTCTCAAAGAGAGACATTATTTATGCGCATTCTAAACCATTGGACAATTTGAAATTGTGATCAAGGGTTTGTGACAGTTTGAATTACATGCTCAAATTTGCTATGGAGGGGGAAAGTATTTTAGCATCTGGAGTGCCCAGCTAATTGTCCATTTGGAGTCTACCTAACAGCCCCAAGACTTTGTGGAAATGACCTTGAGAGTCTATTTCTCGCTTCAGCTCTAGAAAAATCTGAGTGTATGAATATTTTGGAAGAAGGGTCACATTCACTTCCAAGTTCAAATGTTTTCAATTTGTTGTTTGTTGTTTGTTTTTAATCTCTCAATTAATTGCTAGTTGCCAACAAATCTAGCTCAGAACAACTCTGTGGAGTGAGGGTCTTGGTTGACATTTACTGGTGGGTTACTGTGTGCCAGTTGCAGTTGTTGACTGTTTTATCTGTTCATCATCACCATAGCCATGCTGTGCAGTGAGTGCCCTCGGTTCTGTTGTTCAGGGGATGCTGACAGACCTTTAACATTGTCTCCAAGGTCACCAGGTCAAGTGGGAAAGCACAGACTTGAATTCGACCTCCTAACCCCAAACTCTAAGCTCCTTTCTACTTCCCTGCACTGTCTTTCATTTGTATGGTTCCTATATTTATATGAAGCATTTGTGGACATTCCAAGGCTGAAGCCTCCGTATGGGCATTCTGTCATCTAAGGAATGGGCTCTAACCATCCAAATATCCACAATCAATGCTCATGGAAGCAGCACTCAGGAGATCAAACGACACACTGCATTGGGTAAATCCGGGGCGCAAGATCTCTTTAAAGTGTTAAAAATCAAGGTTGTTACTTTGAGGACTAAAATGTGCCTGACCCAAGCCAAGATAGTTTTATCTTTATATGCATATTTATATGCATGTGAAAGTTTGGACATAGAATAAGGAAGACAGAAGAATCAATACATTTGAATTATGGTATTGGCCAAGAATACTTAAAGTACCATAGACTGGCTAATGAATAAACACATCTCTTTTGGAAGAAACACAGCTAAAATATTGCTTAGAAGTTAGGATGCTTTGGCTTTGTTTCACGTGCTTTGAACAGATTATCCGGTGAGACCAGTTCTGACAAGAGGACATCCATTAAAAAGAGAAAGACCCTTAACAAGATGGATTGACACAGTGGATGCCAACAATGGGCTCAGAAGATTGTAGGAATGGCCAGGAGCTGGCCATCCCTGGGCATCCTCCCCTTGTACATGGGGTATCTGTGATTCAGAACCCGCAAAACAGCATCGAATGTTTCTATATGCCTTGAGGTATTTCTGATAGTGTTTTAATCAAATCAAACCTCCAGTTTCACAAAAGAGAAGCTTGAAAAGATGAAGTTTTCATCCCCTTACAGAAGGTCACAAGGAAGAGAGGAGCCAGTCAGGATGCAGTATAGCACTAATGAAACATACAACTTTCCTTTAGTTCTTTAATGCCCCACCACTATCATGACCTCAATTCTACCTTACAAATCTGACTAGACCAGAACATGAACACTGCTACAGATAAGAGCCAACAACACAGGGAATCCAAGACAGATAAACCCCTCAGGAACAATAATGAAGATAGAGATACCAGGAGGATGAGGGGAAGGTGGGGGCAGAAATCAATCAAAAGGATCAACATATAAACCCGTCCCAGGGGGATGAACAACAGAAAAGTGGGTGAAGGGACACGGAGGATGATTTAAGATATGAAAATAATCACCTTTAATTTATTAAGGGTGAAGGAGGGAGAAGGAGGGAAAAAATGAGGAGCTGATATCAAGGGCTCAAGTAGAAAGAAAATGCTTTGAAAATGATGATGGTAACATATGTACAAATATGCTTGACACAATGGATGAATGTATGGCTTTTGATAAGAACTGTAAGAGCCCCCCCAAAAAGTATTTAATTAAAAAAAGATGAAGTTTTCTGTCAAGAAGCAAAGAGAAGACAAAAGCAAAGCCCCCATATTTTTATTTATAAGCAGTGCCAAATAAATAAATAAATAGTCATGCATTGTGTGTTAGGAATTAAAGTATGCCCCCACCCAAATAATAAGTGTTGTAAATCCTAACTTCTATGCCTATGGTTATAATCCAATTGGGGGGGGGGGGGCTGTCTTTGTAAAGAGCCCTAGTAGCAGTCGCCAGAAGGTTGCAGGATCAACCTCACCAACTGCTCCTTGGGAGAAAGAGGAGGTTGTTTGCTCAGGGAAAGATTTACAGTCTGGGAAAGCCTATATACAGTCAAAGTTGACTTGATGGCAGTGGGTTGAGTTGGGTTTGTTTTTATAATAATCAGGCAGGATCTAATAACTTTAGTCGGTGCTTTTTGAGATATCAAAGATATTAAACTAGTGAGCAGAGGAGAAGGGGCCAAGATAGATGCCCTGCTGCAGAGAGAGCTCCGAAGAATGCAGAATCCGAAGCTGGAAAGAGAAGAACTTTTCCCTGAAGCCCACAGAGAAAGCCTCCCTGAGAGCCAGAGCCCTGAAATCGGACTGCAATGA